TTGGCCAGCGTCGGTAAAGGTGTGAACACTTCTCCGAGCAGTGGGCAACAAGATCAAGGTGCTGGTCCAAATTCGTCTGCATCAGGGGCTACGTTTACCGTCGTTTCAATTTGGCAAGGGGGTTCAACAACTATGTTCAATATGGCCCTTTGTTGGGGCTGTTTGCACAGATGCCTTGGTCCGCAGGCTGTTACAACCTCCGTCGCGGCACCACCTGGTCGGCAAGATACATAGCGCACCAGCAGGGGGAACAGATGCCAGGCACGCACAGGGAATGCCAAACTACGATCGAGATTGTTTGGAGAGGACTCAAGACCCATCGGAGGGCCTCGACTGGAACCCAGCTGCGCCTGGCAGCAAGAACAGTGCCCAGCGCACCGCCGCACACGAAGCAGGGCTCGTGTCGGCTGTCCTCGCTCTGTCTTCGCTCCGCCTTTTGCCGTAAAGCGAAACCAAAGCGGCAACGGTCCACGAAATCGCCGAAACACCGCTTAGCTCGAGCCGTGGCACGAAGGCGGCCGCCCCCCACCCCAGCAGAGCGGGGGAGGAGGGAGGGAGGGAGGGCCACCTCGCTTGCTGCAGGCGGCCCTCTGCCACTCCAGCCGTTTGCCATTCGTGTACGTCCCGCATTGCTTCGTCTCTTGACTTGTGGCATCGCACCGCAAGCAGGTCTTGTTGCAGGCATTGGCAGTGCACTCGCGTCGGGAGGACAGCACACAGCGACCGCCTTTGAAACGAGCACAAAAATGCGAAGAGATCTGCTGCAAACAAAGACGAAGAAGCAATAGTCACGCTATGTCTCTGTCATAGGAACGCAAACATGCCCTCATGTTGCGACCCACGTCGTGCTAGACAATGCACGGGGTAACAACCCAATGTCTTCCCCGAGCGTGGTCACCACTGGGTCGACCGGAACGCGTGGCACCACCCATACCAACGGGAGGCACGGAGGAGACGGGGGAAAACCTCACTCCAACATCAGCGGGGTCGCCATGCGAGGCACCTCACTGCCCTCCCGCACGAACAGCGCAGCCTGCCTGCATTCTCGCATGCTGTCGTTAAGGCCCCGACCGCGTCTGCTCCGCGGCGCCGCGTCGGCGGTTGCTGTCATGTGGCGCGTTTGGCTGCAAGCTTCCTGTTTCTCAGCCCTCTTGCTTCGGTGTGTGTGTGTGTGCGTGTGCGCGCCCGGTCGATTGCGCCGGCGCCCGTGGCACAGGGTGCCAGCCACTGGGTCGCTGCCGGTCTCTAGACCCGCCGCCTGCTGGGCAGACCTGCGCTGCCCCTGATGGAGCTGGGCTCAGAGCATCTACTCCAGATTTCGTAATAAAAGGAAGGGGGTCTGGACCCTCCAAGACGAGCCATTTCAGACCCCCCCCCGTGGGAGAACCCTCCAAAACATCGTCCCCAGACCCCCCCAGGCCTTCCAAGATAGCCTGGAAGAGACCCCCCCCGAAATGAGACCCCCCTCCCTTTATTACGAAATCTGGAGTACCCCGCCCCTGCAACCGTGCGCATTTGCAGAGCCTCTGCACGCATGCCTCTGGGGCCCGGCGCTGCAGGATGAGAGTATCAGATGGAAAACAACAACTGCGTACTGCGCGGAAGTGTTGGATCGGCGCTGGACACCCCTCCCTGGCCGCGCAGAGCGCGCGAGAGGGCGGCGCCAGAGGCGCCGCCAGGGGGGTCCATCCCAGATCCAGGAACTCCCAGCGGACCTCCGAGAATCTAGGCAATGCCGTTTTTGTTTGATTGGGAGACGGTGCATGCCTTGCTGGCCAAACTTGGAGACCGGTGTACACGCTGTCCCAGCTTGCCCTGGGGGACATGCGCACCGAGCCCGGGCCCAGGACTGGTGCAGGGTGCAGGTGCGTAGTTGGCGCCCTCCGATGGTTGGCGGGGGCAGGGGGAGGGCTGAAGGCCTCTTAGCAGCGGCCTCCTGCTCGGAATCCTTCCCCCCTCCCCGTATATCCCCCTCTGTTTTTGCATGTGCATTCCGCGCGTTCTCGCGCTACTTATCTTGCGCTGTGCCCCAGCCTCGTTCACACCGCCCTCTGGACTTTTCCTTGCGGGCCGCAAATCAAAAAAGTATACCCCCCCCTGCGCGCCGCCAAGACGGGTCACGGCGGCAGTGGCAAAAGGGCATCGGGACGCACGGCGAACCGCCCGGCAGATCCCGCACGGCGCACGGCTCGCGCCAGCTGCAAACCCAGAGATCCGAGGTCGGGATTTTTTCCATGCGGGGTCCCCGGAAGTCTCGACCCGTTCCCCAGGACCGGTTTTGCAGCCCGAGTCGTTTTTTTTGACGCTCCCGGGGCCCGGCGAGGGCCCCTCGAGGCCGAGAAATGAGGAACACCTCCGTCCTGATTCTGTTCAATGCGCTGGTTCTCTGGTCGGGGGCGGCAAAGAGGGGGGTGTCCAAGAGGGGGTGGTGCAAATCATGACCGGCGGCATGTGCGCGACCCAGCGGGGGGGCCAGGGACGTAATGAAATAAGAAGAGGCGCCATGAAATCTGCGGAAACATCATGGCCCACGCCATGGTATCCACCCCCCCCTAGTCATCACCCCCCTCTTTTCCGCCCCCGATCTGGGCACGGGGCACCCCGCACGGCACCCCCCGGGCACGGCCCGAGCGGCACCGCGCGGCCCGCGGCCTCGGCAGCCTCTCTGCCCGAGGAGCGCGGCGCGGCGTGCGGCCGCCCCTCGCACCGTGCACGGGCGCGCTCGGGGTGCCCGCCTGCCTCGGAGGGCGCGGAGGGACTCGCCATCGCTCGGACGTCCTTTTCCCGTGCACTCTTCGATTTCGTGCGTGTTTTTTTTTGGTTTGTTTGTTTTGTTTTGTTTTTTGTTTTTTCTTTTTTTTCGATGTCGTGCGTGGTGTTATTTTTTTGCTCGACGGTCCAGGATGGTCCTCGATGGCTCTCGCTGGGGAAAGATGCACGCGCCCGAGCGATGCCGAGGGGAGGGAGCGCAGGCACGAGGGGAGGCGAGAGCAGGTGGAGCTGCCCAGAAGGATGCCCTGCCCCGCTGGGAGGGGGGGCCGCTCAGACCCCCTGGGCCTGGGCCACGCTGGACGAACGCGTTCCACTACGTACTCGCACAGCGACTATTCGCAAATGGCCTGGATCCGCCGCGCGGGATCTGCGATCCATTACACCGGGGCAACCCCGTGTGTTTTTCTCTCTGACGTTTGCGAGTAGGCACTCTGCGAGTTGTGGAACGCGCTCGGTGACACACAGGAAGCGTAGGCCGCCGAGCATCCTGCCGCACCAAAGCTGGCCAGGCCCCTCCCGGGCCCAGGCTCGGCGGCCACGGCCCCCTCCCTGCCCAGCCGAGGGCGCACGTCCACCGATCCGGGGCTCACGCTTTGGGCGCTGCGCAGAGGTGGCGGCACACGGGAGCGGTGGAGAAACGAGTGAACCTTTCGTGCCCCTCTTGCGCCCCAGTTGGCCCCTTCAGGCCCCTGGAAGAATGTGCACGAAACGCGCTCCGCGCCTCACCCCTTCATGCATCGCCCCCCCTCCCACCCTCCATGTTGCGAAGACCGACGCGGCTGGCCCGCCCCGGGACTGGTGTACAGTCGGACTTGATTGGCCAGGACACGCGAGAGGACACAAGAACCTTCCGAGGGCCATCTTGCCATAGGAATGTAGGAGGCATGGGTCGCGAGAAAGAGGACGCAAGGGTACCCTCGATTTGGCAGGGTCGACCTACTAATCTGGGCCGACTGTAGGTGGACACCTGATGTGTCTCCCGCTCTGCTGCCGCCTGTGCTGCGCGGGCGCTTCCGGAACCGGCCTCGGAACCGGCGGGGCGGAGCTCCCGGGACGATGTTCTGGAGCCGTCCACGAGTGGCCCCTTCTACAGGATCGATCGAAGGAGAAAAAACAGCATAGGCATAAACTTGTGGCACTCCGCGCGGATTTCTCGGACCTGCGCCGGGCCACCCTCCCTGGCGCGCAGAGCGCGCCAGGGGCGGCAGCGCGCATCCAAGAAATCCGCGCGGAGCGCCAAACAAGTATGTTTATGCTGTTGTGTCTCATTCGATCGATGGTGAACTGGATGTACTGGATGTTTGGCTCCTGGGAGCCTCTTTCGAGATCGAGGTCGAAAACCATCGAGGAGCTCTCTGCGCCCAGGCGGTGCGGGAACACCCCCAGGGCCGAAGACACGAGGCAGAAGGCGGGCCGCCTCTCAGCAGCGGCAGCTGCGCCGACGTCGTGCGCTCGAACGTTCGGGGTACACGAAAGTGCGACATGGACTTCGTACAATTCTTGCAGGTGGGACTCGAGAGGATTCGACGAGACGAGACAAGGAGATGCTACATCGATGGCGCGGGAGATGCCAGGCGTTGGAACTCGGACTGTCGGAGCGCCTTCTCGGCCACCACCCAAACGAGAAACCCAACTGTGCCCTCCTCCTCCTCCTCCTCCTCCGCTTCCTTGCCCTGCCTACTCTTGCTCCTCCTCCTCCTCCTCCTCCTCCTCCTCCTCCTCCTCCTCCGCTTCCTTGCCCTGCCTACTCTTGCTCCTCCGTCCCCCCCTCCTTCGGCGACGCCCCGAGGGGGAAGCGCGAGGGGGCAGGCTCTCCCAGCAGGCTCGTGGGGGCTTCGCAGAGGGCTCAGACAGGCTGCTCGGAAAGCCGGAGGCCGTCTGAGCTTCCTGGGAAGGCCCGCCCCCTCCGCTTTCCCCCCTGGGCGCGCCGCCGCACCTCTGGAATTGAGGCCCAGACAGATTCCACAAACCGGCAGATCGTACATGGATTGCTCGGGAGACGCCGGGCGTCTGAACCCAGACTGTCGGATCTCTCCTCGGCCACAAGGACAAGAAGCCGAAGAGCGCCCTATTCCTCCTCCGCATCCTACTCCTGCCCCTGCCTACTCTTGCTCCTCCATCATCCATCCTTCGGCGGCGCGCCGAGGGGAAAATGAGAGGGGCAAGGCGAGGCTACTGAGAAGGCTCGCCCCCTCTGCTTTCCCCCCTGGCCGCGCCGCCGAACTTTTCTGGAACTGAGGCTCGGACAGCTTCCACGGAACAACATGATGCTACATCGATTGCGCGAAAGATGCCAGGCGTTTGAACCCAGACTGTCGGATTGCAAAAAGGATTGCAAACAAACCCTTGAACGAAGGATTGCAACGAAGGATTGCAATCCAGGTTTTTTTTTGCAATCCTTCGTTGCAATCTTTTCTTTCTTTTTTTTTTTTTGCAATCCTTCGGTTTTTTTTTGCAATCCTTGGTTTTTTTTGCAATCTCTCCTTCGTCACCCCTCCTTCGGCGACTCGCCGAGGGGGGAAGTGAGATGGGGCAGGCCCTCCCAGAGGGCGGCAGGGCCTCGGAGGCCCTCCGGCCTTCTGAGAAGGCCCAGACATTGCTCTCAGAAGGCGGGATGCATCTTGAGCCTTCGCATAGATGCCCGCTCGGCCTTCCCCCTAGGGCGACGAAATCTATACATATCCACTGCTCCCTGGCCAGGCCCATCCTCAACCCCGCAGCGGTGTATACGCCACGCCCTCCTGGCTTGGCCAGGAGGGCGCATACACAGCTCCTGGGTTCAAGATGGGCATGGTCAGGGAGCACTGGATATGTATAGATTTCGTCGCCCGACCTCCCCTGAGCGCGCCGCCGAGTCCTTCCATCCTCTCCCCTCGCCCTGAAGTCCTTGGGTTGCATCTTCGGGGGACCTTGTCTGTCCCGTCGCGCCGAGATCCGCGTCGAATCCGCGTCGAATCCTTGTCGAATCCGTGTCGAGTCCGCGTGGCATCTGTCGAATCCGTGTCGAATCCACGTCGAATTCGCGTCGAATCCGCGTCGAATCCGTGCCGGAGTAGAAAAAAGGACAGCTATTTACAGCCGGCGGCGAGCGAGGGGGTAGAAGTGAGAAGGAGAAGGCAGTCTCAGAAGGCGGCGGGGCTGCTCAGAAGCCCTCGCGCCTTCAAGCTTTCTGTGTCTTCGGGGAAGGCCTAGGGCACTTCTCAGAAGGCTGGGGGACTTCCGAGCCCTCTGAGAAGGCCCGCCCCTTCTTACTTCACCTCCCCGCTCGCCGCCGAACTTACAGGGCAGGGAAGGCCCCCCGAAGATACAAAGTAAAAGTCCCACTCTTGCGACGGTGCGGCACCGTTGGCCTGGACCAATGCTGGCCCTTTGCTCGCTCCGGCGGGGACGAACGACCCAGGCGGCCTGCGAGCCCCTACTTCGAGCGGGCGCACACCGTGACTAACTACGATCGTCAAACTTCACCCTCGTGCCAGCGATGCTTCGGCGAGGTGGGCACCGGACGGGAGGCAGCGGTTTTCAAACTGTCCCGCCTCGCGTACACTCGGGGCGTTGACCTCAGGAACCCTAAATGAAAAACGAGGCCTTTTTTTACCATAAGTTGAACTTCACTTTCCCATCGAAAACATAAGGGAAACCTGAGGCAAGCTGTGAAACAATTAAGGAACACGGAGCCCCTCCCCAACGAAAAGGGTTCCTTCTTCAGGGACCCGACTGTACGCATGACAAGGAAGTAACGTTCCGATGGTCTCGCGCCCAAAGGCAAGCTTCGCCCCGATGACGCCCAACCCCTTGCATGCCCGCTGCTTTTGTCCGCTTCGCTGCCACAGACGCCAAACGCATGCTCGCTCACCTTAGGCCACTGCGATCGCCGACGCACCGCTCAGAAGAGCCGGAACTGCTTGCGGGCAGTTCCGAAGATCTGATTCTTCTCCACCTTGAGCACGTTGAAGCGCACCGTCTTGCACAAAGGCCGACACTGGCCCACGGTCAAGATATCGCCCTCCTTCACATCGAAGGCAGGGGAGCAGTGCGCGGCCAAGTTGGTGTGGCGCTTCTCAAAACGGTTGAACTTCTTGATGTAGTGGAGGAAATTGCGCCTGATGATGACAGTCCTCTTCATCTTGCAAGAGATCGCCATGCCCTTCAGAATTTTGCCGCGGATGCTAACGTTCCCCGTGAAAGGGCACTTCTTGTCGACGAAATTGCCCTCCTTCGCCTCCTTCGGCGTGCTGAAACCAAGGCCGACGTTGCGCCAGTAGCGAAGAGCCTTCTTGCCAGCCTTCTTCCCGAGCAGGCGCTTCGCGCCGATGAACACGGCGTCCTGCTTCTGGAAAGCCTTCTCGGTCTGATCCATGGCCGCGAACGCCTGCGAATGCTAACCGAGCTACCGTAATGGCCAGGCAATCCTGTCGAGACGGCTTGAGCCAAAGAGGGTGCATCCCAGCACGTCTGCACTCGCCTGTGTCGGAAGAAGCAGCGAGGGAGCGGGTGGGGCTGGTAGCCAGGCGGAGTGGGAACAATTGCAAACAACTACAACAGCAGTGGTCGTGTAGGCGCCGCCACTTGAGCGACGATCAAAGACTGGTCTTACACTGGCATGGCGACCTTACGCGGTGGCTTACGCGGGGCGCCAGCGCGGCACGCTGCATCGGCAGCGAGGGCGCCTGCGCGCGACCTTACGCGGGCAGCTCACGCGCCGGCGTCGGTGAAGACGAGCCCGTTTCTTTGCGTCGCCCACTTGAACACAGGAGGCTCGAGTAATCGAGTAGGGCATCGACTACAGAACATATTTACCCCAACATTGACTTTCTCGCCGAATCCATGAGCAATGCGTAACATGTTTGCAGCTGTACGAAGTTTCCACGTTTCGTTCATGGAGTCGGCGAGAACACCAACTCTTGTGTAACTCCATTACGTGGTGAATCCCCTTCTCGAAGTGTAAAGAAGGTGCGTACGCGTGGCGTCAATCTCTGAGACGACAATGGCTCACCCAGCGCCTGCTGGCGCTGGGCAGGCGCCAGCGTGTTGAGGAGAGCGCCGGGCGGCGGAGACGAAGCCAGCGGCATGCCGCAGGTCTCGTGCCACATTGCCATCGCTCGGACGTCCATTTCGCGTGCATTCTTCGGCTTCGTGCGTGTGTTTTTTTTTTTTGCTCGATGGTCCAGGGTGGTCCTCGATGGTTCTCGCCGAGAAAAAATGCACACGTCCGAGCGATGCCACGCCACCCTTCCCGATGCCCTCCCCCCCCCCCCTGTTCCGTCCACCCCCGACACAGGCCACGCCACCGCCCCGCGGCACGACGGCCGGGCACCGGGCAACCAGACCTGAACGGCCGAGGCGGTCTCTCCCGGGCACCGCGGCACGCGCGGAGGCGGCGGGTCGGCGAGGTGCTGCGCAGTGCAGCGATCGGCGACGGGATGCGCCGTGATGATGTTTTGCGCCCTCGGCCCAGAACTGCATGGTCCTTCACCCCAGAACTCCATGCACGAATCATGCACGGGCATGCTGGCGTGCCGGCCGGCCCTGGAGCACGAGGTCGGGGGCAGACGCGAGGATGCCGCGGGAGAAAGAGGGAGGAGGAGCTTCGTCAAGAGACCTGCGAGTTTGTCGAAGTCACGTTCGATTCCACTGCAGCAGCCAGGAGGACTGCGATCTGGTTTGCGACATCGAACTGGACCTCAGAAAAACACGCAGTTCTCGCATGCGGCAGCTTCGTGTCGTGCCGATTTCGGCCCTGGTTCCTGACGCCGCGCAAATCGTTCGACCTGAAACGATCGGCCGCCGGCGACTAACGTTTCAACGATGGCGGCGTGGTCGCCGCCGCCGGTCGATGCGACGCGAAGCTGCCGCAGGAGGGTGGGCGCGCAGCAGCAGGCCGCTCCCGGCGCCTCCTCCCCGGGAGGAATGGCGAGGAGCGGCGGTGGGTGGCGGCAGCAGGAGACGCCGGAGGCCTCGAGGCTCGAAGACACGCAAGACTGGCCCTGGGCAGGAGCCCGCGCGCCTGCCGACGGCGTCTCCCATCGCGGGAGGAGAAGACGAGGAGCGGCGGGGGCAGCAACGGGAGTCGCTGGAGGCCAGAGTGACCCCAAGCAAGAAGAGTGACGTTTTTGGTGCGCGGCTTTAGGGGCCGCGGGGGGGGGGGGGGGGGCCAAATCCAAGCGCGCATGCCAATGCTCGGGGGACCCCTGCGGTCCCTGTGAGCCCGCACCAAAGGTCACTCTGGCCAAGGGTCACTCTTGCGCGCAGCCTCACGGCTGGGGCCAGAGTTCACGGGGAGGATCGCACCGCATCGCCGATGCAGCGGGCGACGTCGGGATGGACTGGATCGGACTGCAGATCGCGCTGCACCGCTGGTGCACTGGCGGATGCGGCGCGAGTCTTCCATCTGCTCTGGCCCTGTGCGTGAGGGGCAACGTTGGGAGGGGACCAGCTCAGGAAGGGGGAAGCACATCGACATGTATCGGCGATGCGTCCCCGATAGCTCGGCGATGGGCAACCGATAGCGAACCCGCAAGCTCCTGGGCGGGGTGGGGCTATCGGGCCCCTATCGTTGATGAATGGTCGAGTGGAGGTTAATGCATCCCCCCTGAGCCTTACCCCCCCCCCTAGGCTAGGGAGCCCACAAAGGACGTACGCGCCCAACCATGTACATGAACACGGCCCCTCGATCCGCGAGACCGGCCGCGTGCTGCGAACATTCGCGCAATGCGGACTCTCGAAACCAGCGTGGATTCATGTACGTGTACGTCCTTCTTTCGCTCCTGATAAGCGTTGCCCCTCTGGCGGCCGTTACACGGATGATCCGGGCGCTGGAACTCGGGAGCGGCCAAAAGGGGGGTGTCCAAGAGGGGGGTGTGCAAATCATGACCGGCGGCATGTGCGCGGCCCAGCGGGGGGGCCAGGGACGTAATGAAATAAGAAGAGGCGCCATGAAATCTGGGGAAATATCATGTCCCCCGCCATGATATCCACCCCCCCCTAGTCATCACCCCCCTCTTTTCCGCCCCCGAAGAACGCTCTCGACGAGGCGCGGCCGCTGAAGAACACCCCGAGGCCGGAAGACCTCTCGGAAACCGGCGAGAGCCGCCCCCGAGCCCCCCCCGACGCTGCCCCTGACCTATCTGTTGAGTAGGGGATCGGCTACGTACAGAAGTGGTTTATTCCAAAATCGGAATCGTCGTCGGATCTGGAGCCTGAACGGAGAACCTCTTCGTAGATCTGCAAAGCATTCTGCGTCTTTTCTCGTAGACTTGACGAATACTAATTTGGGGGTAAATCAACTTGGAAGTCGACCCCCTAATCAAATGTAGGAGGAGGAGGAGGAGGAGGAGGAGGAGGAGGAGGAGGAGGAGGAGGAGCAGGAGGAGGAGGAGGAGGAGGAGGCCTGGAGACGCTACCCGCTGCTCGCGGAGGCCGCCGTGGAGAAGCCCTGCGGCACCTCGCTGGGCCGCATCAGCCGCCCGCAACGCTCCAGCAACGCCCTCGTCGGCTCCGGGCCCGCGGCCGAACCGCGGGGGGGCTGCAGGGTCTCAGCGTCCATGCCGTGGAATGCGTCCAACTCCTCTCCCCAAAACGAAGCCTGGGAGCGAAATCAATGGAGGGGCGGTGCATGGGAGGGGGGGAGGGTGGGGGGCAGCGAGGGCTGCAGAAAAGGGGGCCTTCAGGGCCCAAGTAGGGCACCTTTCTCGCCCCCCCCCCCCCATGTATCGCCCCCCATGAATTCGCGCCCGAGAAGCCAGGGCAGGGACAACACCGGTGATCTCTGAAATCCGCCAGCGGTTCTGGAGGAAGCATCGGGCGCCGCGGCCTTCCCAGAACGCTCGAGGGCGCTCTGGAGCGATTCATCCCCCTGAGATCCGACGTACAGTGCAACATCGTAAAAAATCACGCTCGAAGCCCGAAACCCGATCTTTCTGCGTAACTTCTCGAGCGGGATCGATCTGCGAGGGTTCCAGGGCCCAGAATAATGCGAAAAAGCCCAGCCCGAAAAAAATGGCACGCCAAGATCAGGGCCTGTCCTGTGACCGGCTGATTTTTGGAAGGCGCGACCTGTACACCTACACCGCAGCACCGAGGGAGCGGGTCCTGAGGAAAAAAGTATCCCCCAGGATTCCCCTGCTCTCTCGGACACGAGGTAGGGCTAGCAAAGGAGGGTTTTAGTGAAGCCGCTTACGAAACTTGTTTTCCTGCCGAAGGTGCATGCTGCAGATTTCGCAATCCCGCCATTCCCAATCCCCCTTTCGTCCGACCCAGAGTCAAGACACGACTCGGAAAAACTACGGCGGGGTTCAGGCACCCATGTTGGATGGGACAATGGCCAAATCTGAACGTGGGGCGATCTTGGTCACCGTCCATCCTTGTCAGCACCAAGTCATGGACCACCCTCCAGAATCAACAACGGCCGACGTGGACCATGACCAAGCTCGGCGTCGGCATGATCCCGCGACGTCTTGGTCACGGTCCCCCGTTTTTCTTCCTTCGAGCTTCCTGCAGGCACCCCGACCCTCCTCCATTTCCTCCTCATCCATTATCTCCTCCTCCATGTCCTCCTCCTCCTCCTCCTCCTCCTCCCTCTCCTTCTCCTCCCTCCTCCCTCCTCCCTCCTACCCATCCTCCTCCTCCCTCCTCCCTCCTCCCTCCTCCTCCTCCATCTCCTCCTCCTCCTCCTCCTCCTCCTGCTCCTCCTCCTCCTTCATCTCCTCCTCCTCCTCCTCCTCCTCCTCCTCCTCCTCCTCCTCCTCGGTCGGTCGGTCGGTGGCGAGCAGGAAGGTCGAAGCTCATACAACAGGGTGGGAAAGATAGACAATTGGACGGTGGAAGAGAGAGGCAACAGCAAACGCAGTGGATCGCTGCAGCCGCGCAAAGCGCGTACCTCCTCCTCCTCCTCCTCTTCCTTCTCCTCCACTTCCTCCTCCTCCATTCTTCCTCCTCCTCCTCGTGCTCCTCATCAATTTCCTCCTCCTCCTCCTACTCCTCCTCTTCCTCCTCCTCCTCCTCCTCGTCCTCATTCTTCATAGCGAACACCGACCCTGGCCAGGCCCAGGGACGGTGTGCACGCCCCTGGCCCGGGAGGGCATGCACGTGCACCGATCTCTCGGCGTTGCTACGTGGAGGACGAAGGAGGCGTGCACCATTCGTGGTCCCTTCGCAGGGAACCGAAACTCCATACACCGACGCTTCTTCTGGCCCTGCATTGGAATTTGCACTGGAGAGCGGATCTTGGTAAATACGGGACCCTGGTGTATACATTTGTAGTTGTTTCCCTAGGGCATCGGGGAACAACGTATACACCACACCACCCCGACGTCGCCCCCGACCCTCAAAACATCCTGGGATTGAAAACAGCCCGCCACTGGTAATGTATACGTTCCAGTTTCCGACTTGGGGCACCAGGGGCTCCTTTCTCGGGGGCGCGCAAGCATGGATTAGCGATCCATGGATTTGGTGCGAGGTCGCCAAATCCATGGATCGGGGGAGGTGCCCTCCCCAAAATGCGGCCAGTGCCTCCTCGCTCGGCGGCGGAAATCCGCGACGTCACACACACATCATAAATAGACACAACTAACAGGATTCTCTATATTTGTCCATCTGTTCTGGGTTTTTGTCTTCCCCCCCAGTTCCCAGATTTTCCTCTATGTCCTAGGGAATCGACGAGTAATTGTGTCTGTGTGTTCTTTGTCCCTCCTGAATCACGCAACGCCCGAGATCCCGGGCCCGGGTCTGGACAGGATCGGCGCAGACGTGTATCGACCGCACGCGGGACCGGCCCTGGGCAAGAGTGACCTCCGGTGCGCGGCTTCGGCGGGGCACGCGGGGGAGCCAACCCCAAGCGCGCAAGCCACGGCGATCGCGTCGCAGTGGGCGTAGTTAACCCGCATGGTAAGGATGGGCAACCTTCCCAAGTTTATACCCTTGCATCCTTGCCTCCTCGATCCATCCTTGGCCACTTTCGTTGGCCGCGCCCCGCTGGGAAAGCTTCGAAATGGGCGTCCGAGGCCCTTGCATTCATATCGTGCGTCCTTACGATGCGGGTCGACTGTAAGGTCATTCAGGCGAAGGGCCACTCTTACCTTCGAAGCGTGGCCACGAGGACGCAAATTGAAACCAAAATGAACCCTTCCCAGAGGGCCCGGGGCCCCACGACAATGCCCCAAACGGAGAGCAGCTCTGAGGTCGAGGGCCCAAACACGAAAGAACTCGGGGATACAATCGGGCCGCTGAAATTATGGAGCGGTACAGACGGTCCCAAAAGCGCCAGCGTGCACGAGGGCTAGAGGAGCAGCCACAGAACTACCGAAGGAACATCGAGCCCCTTTCGTACCCAAACTGTTCCTTACTTCAGCGTCTTGACTGTACCCCTCCAAGTCCAGAGCTGCTCAACCGCCGTGCAAACTGTGGTCGGGCGTCCAGGTCACGAACGGGCCGGGCCAGGCAGAAAAGGCGGGGGCAACACAGGTCGATGATCCTCAGGGCGTGTCCTGGCGCCAACGTGTGCTTGTCCACCGAATCCCATATATATATATATACGATGTACTTCAGGAACAACCGACCGTAGGCTCGAAGCTGATACATCGGAGGTCGGGGGGTACGATCGCAGCGATTGGGCGCAACTGAATGGGGGGTGATAGATGATTGGGGGAGTAAGGCACCCTTTTCGGGCCCGAAGGGCCCCCTCTTGGGCCCTAAACTCGGGATCGCTCGGACGTCCATTTCCCGTGCATGTTTTCGGTTTCGTGCGTGTTTTTCTTTTTGCTCGATGGTCCGGGATGGTCCTCGATGGTCCCCACCGAAACAAACATGCACACGTCCGAGCGATGCCAGGTGAAGGGGCCCTTTTCGGCAGCCCTCTCTGCCCCCCTTCATGCATCGCCCCTCCATGATGTGTGGCCTCCACAAGGAAAACAGAGGGACCCACACCGGGAAAAATCGCTGTCGGCTTCGTGCTCTTTTGTCGTGCGTGCGGGGCGGAGCTGCGTGGGCGGGTGAACGGAATTAACCCGCCGCTGCCAGTGCGACGCTGGGCTCAATGATTCCCTTCCCACGGTAGTCCCGCCCGTGTCCCGTGGCGCGGGGTCCCATGGTGTCCCGTGCCGTCCCGTGAGGTCAATTTTAAAATCGATAATGAGATCGATGTGAGATCAATAAATCACGAGATCGGTCGGTAGAGGGATATCGACAGTGAGATCTACAGGTTCATAGAGATTGAGATGGATAGATACACGGCCAAACATATTGCCCTGCACTTTGGTAGTACGTAGGCATAGAAAGAAAAAGGCATTGGCAAATCAATCCCACCTGGATCGATCGTGACACCGATATCGGTGTCCTCGGGTGCCCCGTGGTCTTGCTCGTCTTATCTATCATGTTCTTTCAACAAGGAACAGGCGCGCAGGCAAATAAGTGCCACCTGGTTCAATGGGAAGGCGCGGGCGCGTGAGGCCGGTAGTGAGATCCACGGTGAAATCGACACTGGGGCCCATAGTGATCGATAGTGGTGTCGTGCGGCGCCCCGTGGTGTCTCGTTGCGCCCTGTGGGTTTAGATCCTCTCACCACTGCCGCCATCACCACAGCAGTCTGGCTCAAGCACTCCGCAAGAGCATTCGGCACCCCTCGCGCATGTTCTCTGGTGGCACCGATGGCGAGCAAAAGTGGCGCGGCACTTCCGCCAGGACCCTCGGTGCCAGGATCTGCCAGCGCCACTGGGGACTGCAAAGGGCCTCCCAAATCTAAGCAGAAATTGGAGTACGCCAGGACCTCGACGGCGGGGTTCGTGGAGCTCGCGCTGGACCGCGGGCTGACCGGGCAAGAGTTCTACGACGCCTTGCAGGGCGCACCAGACGTGGAGGGGGCGAAGTGGAAGGAGACAGAGACTCCGCAGGGCAACGTGGGCAAGCACGTCATGGAGCAGAACGTGAATGTCTATGTGCCAGGCTCACTCGAGCAGCCGCTCGAGTTCCGGCTCGTGCGCAACATGCACTTGAAAGACATCCTCGATGGCGATTTCACCGTCACGGCGTGCTTCACGCCTGACCTCCAACACTCGCGCTGCGTGGCGTGGCGCATCCCCGCGCGCGCCATCGAGGGGGGGAGCTCATGCCGGCGCGCGCCCGGCACTGCTGCCGGCGCGCTCCGGCCAGGGCGGGCACGTCGCTGGCCGATGACGGCGTCGTGCACGATGCACTGCCACGCGCATCCTGCCAGGGCCGCTGCGAAGGAGAGCGCCGCCGAGCAGAGCAGCGTCGCAACCGGCGGCGGCGGCCCGCTCGAGGTGAGCCCGAGGCACGGGCCAGGCCACGCCAGCTCCGCAGCGGGGGGGGGGCCCTGCACGGCATCCGCCCGCCATCGCTCGGACGTCCATTTCGCGTGCGTTTTTCGGCTTCGTGCGTGTTTTTCCCCATATCCTAAGATGGGGTTCTTGTTATTACTTGGACGCCTCCTACTCCTCCTCCTTCCTCCTCCTCTTTTCTCCTCCCCTCCTGTCGGGCTTACTCATACTCAGACTTGCTCATACACAGACTTACTCATATTCAGACTTACTCATACTCAGACCTACTCATACTCAGACTTACTCACACTCAGACATACTCATACACAGACTTACTCATACACAGACTTACTCACACCCAGCCGTACTCATACACAGACTCACTCATACCCAGACTTACTCATACACAGTATTAGTCATACTCAGACTTACTCATACCCAGACGTACACATACACAGACTTTCTCATACACATACCTACTCATACCCAGACTTACTCATACACAGACTTACTCATACACAGACTTACTCATGCTCAGCACCCCTAAGGGGAGCCGCCAGGGGTGGTTGCACGGGCTCGTTCGCGGCCATTTTGTGGGGATGTCTCAGGCGGTTTGCCTGTTTCTGTGCCCAACATCTTCGCTTTCGGAGCAGATTTGGAGGATGTCTCGAGCGAGGCGCTCATTTCAGCACCCCTAAGGGGAGCCGCCAGGGGTGGTTGCACGGGCTCGTTCGCGGCCATTTTGTGGGGATGTCTCAGGCGGTTTGCCTGTTTCTGTGCCCAACATCCTTCGCTTTCGGAGCAGATTTGGAGGATGTCTCGAGCGTGGCGCTCATTTCAGCACCCCTAAGGGGAGCCGCCAGGGGTGGTTGCACGGGCTCGTTCGCGGCCATTTTGTGGGGATGTCTCAGGCGGTTTGCCTGTTTCTGTGCCCAACATCCTTCGCTTTCGGAGCAGATTTGGAGGATGTCTCGAGCGAGGCGCTCATTTTCACCCCCCAGGTGGGCCAGATTTTGAGGATGTCTCGATCGGTTTGCTAGTTTTGGTGGCCAGGCTCGTGGGCGCAGATTCTTCTCAGGATGCCACAGGAGGCTCCAACAGGCTCCAGGAGGCTCCAGGAGACCACATGAGGTCCCAGGAGGCATCAGGAGGCCACAGAAAGACTCAAGAGGCCACAGGATGTCCCAAGAGGCTCCAGGAGGCCCCAGGAAGCTCCAGAAGGCCTCAGGAAACCACAGGAGGCCCCAGGAGGCAACAGGAAGCGCCAGGAGGCCTCGGAAGGCAACAGGAGGCCCCGAGAGGCCCCAGGAGCAGGAGGCCTCAGAAGGCAACAGGAGTGGCTCCAATCCCATGTGTTTTACGTATGCTCCTATCGATTGGGCCTCACCTGGAGCACGATTCTTTGATGTTCTACGTATGTTTCTATAGATGGTCCTTCTCCTGTGTACACAATCCTAAATGTTTTACTCATGTTCCTATGTATTGGGCCTCTCCTGGGGCACGAGTCCTTGGTGTTTTACGCGTGTTCCTATAGATTGCCCTTCTCCTGTGGCTCTAATCCGCAATGTTTTATGTACGTCTGTTGCTATAGATTGCGCCTCTCCTGGGGCACGAAACCTTCCTAGGAGGTCCCAGGAGGTCCCAAGAGGCTCCTGGAGACCCCAGGAAGCCCCAGTAGGTTTCAGGAGGCCCCAGGAGGCCCCAGGCTCATGCACAGAGACGCGCTCGTACTACTGAGGCTCATTCACACTCCAATTCATTCGCAGTTAGATTGATGTCCAGACCGTCACAACTGAAGCCCGTTAATATTCGAAAGCTCTTGCGCCTAGACATTCACGGCGGACAGGTCCATGCGAGTAGATGCACATATGGGGAGCTCCACGCAGTGAATAATTTGTTGCTCGATGGTCCAGGGTGGTCCTCGATGGTTCTCGCCGAGAACAAAATGCACACGTCCGAGCGATGCCAGGACAACACTCGCCGCCCGCGCCCTGGTTGCGGCGCGGCGCTGCCGCCTTGGCGGCGGGCGGCGCTGCCGCCGCGGCCACCGCAGGTCCAGGGGCCCGGCATGTCCAGGGCGCCTGGGGGCGTCGCCCCAGACACCGATGCAGGCGGCGGGAGGAGGAGGAGGAGGAGGAGGAGGAGGAGGAGGAGGAGGAGGAGGAGGAGGAGGAGGAGGAGGAGGAGGATCGCACGCCACTGAGGGGAAAGGGGGGGGGAAAGTCCGACGCTCCAAAAAACCCAGGGGGGCCCATCCGAGGGGAACTTTTTGTCACCCTGGCAGGAGGGCCAAAGACCTGCCAGGGGCCAACGACAGGGCCCCCCCTTGGGTATCTAACCGCACAGTTCTTCTTCCTCCAGATCGTTGTCTGGGTCTCGCTCCTTCAGCTTCAGTCCCAATTCAGCGGCTTCGAACTCATTGAGTCCAAACGCTTGCAGGACCTCTGCCAGGCACAAAAATGCACGTGCAGGTGGGTCCGAAGTGGCCCTGGAGAAACCTCCTTCTCTCTTTTCTGGGCCTTCTTGGACTCCGAAGCCCCCCCAACCAGCTCTCGCGCCCAAGCCCCAGGAGTTCGCCAAGAGCCCAGTTTGAGAGGCCTGTTGGGGTACTTGCCCTTGCAGACAGCCCGAGTGTTCTTCCTGCCTGGGTCCACCAAGGCCTGCTGGGACCCTCCACAGCTCTTTCGCAGGCCTCTGGATCCCGCAGACACCGTGGCATACCCCCCGCAGGTCGAACAAAAAAGAATGAGAGGCTGGTTATCTTCAGCTTCGGCATTGCCCTCCTTCTCAAAATGGCTGATCCGTCCTTCGCGCACATCTGTCATCGACGTCAGGGCCGCCACCTTACAAAAACTCACCAGAGCGGGCGTTCCTTCACGGAATGCCTTCTTCCAGATGTGTGCCCGAGTGTTGCCACCTCTCTGCGCATATCTGGCATTCTGACAACATTGAACTGTGCCTTTGCAATCGGAGTAAATCGTGTACCTGCCTACTAGATGTCTCAAGGCCATCAGGATGGCGTAATCCTCCCCGTCTCTGGCTACCTGGTCGGGGCCTTGCGGTGGGGGGACCGCCCCATACCACCCCTGCCAGGGGTCAGCGATCATGGTCGAAAACCGCCACACCCCAACCAGCAACCCTAAAGCACGGGAAGAAACCATCGACCCCAGAGCCATCGCAAAAAACATGGCCACCATCCAGCGCCTAGAGGAGGAGGAGGAGGAGGAGGAGGAGGAGGAGGAGGAGGAGGAGGAGGAGGAGGAGGAGGAGGGCGGAGGGCGGAGGGCGGAGGAGGAGGAGGAGGAGGAGGAGGAGGAGGAGGAGGAGGAGGGAGGAGGAGGAGGAAGGAAGAGGAGGAGGAGGACGCCGGACGCGAGTGGTCCGGGCAGAGCGAGGCGCACGCATCGTCGTGGCCAGGCTCTGCCAGCCCGGCGCCCATGGCGGGCCCTCCTCCCGCGTCGAGCCTGGCGCCCGACGTGCTGCAGGCGCCGTCGCCCTTGGCGCCCGCTGTGCCCAAGGCTTGAGCGGTGGGCAGACAGCCCCCAGATGGCCCAAAGACGGCCAGAGACAAGGCCAAGAGGGGGACGCTACTTCACATGTCAAGGCCTCCGCCTCAAGAGAACCCCCGAAACCGCCAGCAGGCTCGCGATAGCTCCCAGAAAGCTCCCCGAGAGCGCCAAGAAGCATCCGAGAGGACTCCTCCTCTCCCGCCACCTCCCGCGCTGCTGCTGATCCCGTGTCAAGGTTGGTGGAAGCAGCTGTTAGGCCTTTGCAATACGGTCGGCGCAGGCTGCGTGTTATCGGTGGAGCTGCACAGGGTAGTTAACACACACACATTGGGCTGACACACGTCCTGCAGATCGTCGAAAAGGGGGGTTCCCGAACCAGCTGCACGATCTGTCACTCCCGACGCCTCCCTGCTCCGCGCCCAGCTACCTGAGGAAAACGCCACACGGCGGGGCCGAGTCCCCAGAGGTCTGGACCCCTTCCCCAGGACCGTCTTCTCCGTTTCTTGATGGTCCTGGGGCCTGGCGAGAGCCCACGGAAGCCGAACGCTACCCAACCCCCCCCCGTCGTGGTCTCTACCGCGACGGGAAAAAAGTCTCGGGCCTCGAAGCCCCTCTCACCCGACGCCCGACGAGTCGCATGCGTGGGGGTTGGGAGGGCGGGGCGAGACGCCGATGGCCCTCCCGAGCGAGGGAGGAGGAGAACGAGGATGTATCGAGGGACTGGGCGGCGGCGGCGGCGGCAGCGTCGGCCCCCCGCCGCGGCATGAGGGGCCCGGAGGCAGCGAGGAAGACTTGGACATGCAGTGGGTACGGGCAAAAATGGATACGACGCCCAACAACAATTTCTGTCCAAAGCCGACAGCGGCCGCTGTTGGGCAGGCGGCCTTCTGCTTCGAACGGACCACGTCCGCGGCGACGCCGACAGCGAGTCCTGCTCAAAACGGACAGGATCTGCTGTCGGTCGTCGTACAATAAGACCGACTCAGGCCAGAAGAACATCCCTCAAGAGCATGAGACCCTCCGTCGCCCCAAAGAAGCTGAACATCCGAGGGTACCCTCCCTAGGGTGCACAAGAACATCCAGCAAGCACGACGAACACTGGGGTTCGCCTCCCCGGATCGACCTCGATCTTAATTTCAAGTCGGGCCTGTCCCCCTACAGGGCGATTTTCGAAGAAAAATAAAACATGCCCCAAACATAATCCAAACATAGTCCAGAAATAGTCTGGGGACTATTGTTTGCGTATTGTTTACCTTTTTGGCGTACTGTTTGGGGGTGTTTTTTCTTATATATAATATATAACAAATCGTCGAACATCCCCCTGTAGGGGGACACGCCCGACATGATCTGAATTATACCTCGGTCCGACTGTACTGCCCTTTCTTTCCGTACCCACGTCTGAAGGGGCTCCAGGACACACAAGTAAATACACACAAATAAACCGATTCCCCATATTTTCCCATACTTGTCGGGTTTTTGTCTTCCCCCCCACTTCCCTTATGTTCCCATATTCTTGGGGATCGGCGATTAATAGTGTCTGTGTGTTTTCTCCCCTCCTGACCCACGTCGGCCGCCCCGAAACGACGAGGGAGGAGGGCCGCCGAGCCGACGTGCCCAGCTCCTCCGCGCCACGGGCGATGAGCTCGTTCATCTCCTCGCGGGCGCCCGCCACAGCCAGGGTTCTGTCGGGCGTGTCCCCCTACAGGGGGGATTTTCGACGAAAGATGGAAAATGCCCCCAAAAATGCCCCAAAAAGGTCAAAAAGATACTCAAAAAATAGTCCCACGACTATTTTTGGACTCTTTTTGGGGGTCGAAAATCCCCCTGCAGGAGGACAGGCCCGACTTAAAGCCAGGGGGCAACACGCAAAGGGGGGAGGCCGAGGCGAGGCGAGAATCACCGGCAGGCGTCCACGGGGACGGCCCCGTGTGAGCACGTCGCTTGGGCCAGAGCCTGGGATACGACTTGGTCCCCGGTGTGCTCCTGGAGGTCTCCTGGACGGGGTCGGAGGGGTCGGAGGATCGCGCCGCGTCCCCGATGCAGCGGCGATGCACTGGCGATGCGCCGGCGACGTCGGCGGTGCCTCGGCGCCGCCAGCCGGCGTTGAGGAAATCGGCTCTACATCAGGGCTGAACCTAAACGGTGCTTTTCGTTTTCGTTGCGTGTTCGCTTCCCCTCGCCTTTGTCTCGAACCCGCCTTTACTGCACGACGAAGTCGAAACGAAAACGGCCCACGAAAATCATCAAAAACACCGTTCGGGTCCAGCCCTGCTCTGCATCGAGCCGCACCGCCGACGAAGCGGCGGTGCGGCGCGATCCTCACAAAACCCCACCTGCTCCCGCCCCATCGAGGAGGCATCGAGCCTCGTGAGCGGGGAGGCACGCGGAGGAAGGAGGGAGGCCGACGACGACGGTCGAAGGGGGGCGAGAGGGTGCAGCAGCGTGCGCCTCGCGGGCGCCTCGCGGGTCCGCGGCGGCAGCCTTGGGGGCCCTCTGGGGGCGCCTTCCCTGCCAGGCCTCGAGCCTCCGCCGCCGCCGCGTGGGGGAGCACGATCGGGGCGACCGGCTCCAAGGGGGGGAAACGTCGACCCGTGACCGGCGCTGCACCGCCGACGCATCGGCGACAGGCCCCCGAAGGCGAAACCACGCCTTCCTGGGCGGGGTGAGGCTGTCGTGCCCCCATCGGCGATGCGTGGGCGATCAGGACTCGACGCATCCCCCCTCTGAGCCTAGTACCCTGAAATTTTGGGGTCGTAACTCAGGTTTCCAGCGGCCGCTCGGAACGATCCAGGCCCCCAGGCCCCCCCCCCCCCGAACGCTCTCGACGAGGAGCAGCCGACGAGAAGCACCCCGAGGCCGGAAAATCCGCCGACCCCTTGGGGCCACGGCGTGTGAAATGCTCCCCCCTCCCCAAACCCCTCCCCAGGGGCCCAGTCCTGTCGGTTTTGAGGGGGGCCGAGGGGGTGGGGGGCAAAGGTTCTGGCCGCACACTTGGAGCCTCAGAAAGCTCCAAAACGAACAAAAAAGGTTCAAAAGGGTCCCGGAACGGTCCAACAGAGCTACGAGTCGACTCGACGAGAGATCGTTCCAAAACGCCGACGATTGCCTCCAAATGGCCCCATCAGCCCCCAAGACTTTTGAAAAAGTACTACGAGGCGCTCCACAGAGGCCCTCCAGAAGCAAAAATCGTCCCATTCCCAAGGGGAAACGAACATCTTCAGCACATTCGCCTTTTGGGCTTCCACGCGGCCCACAACGGTCCAAGAAGCCTCCAATATTGACCCTCCACAGCCCAAGAGGCTCCCAAAAAGGTTCCACGACTGCTTCCAGGCGATTCGGCGATGCACGAAGGCTCCAGAAACCATAGCAACGGCCCCGGCGAGCCGCAGGACGGTCCCAAGAGGGCTCCAAAACAAGCCAACAGGGTCCCCAAAGGCTGCCCATACGGCCCTCGCGGGGGACGTTTCGGTCCAAACCGCCCAAGATTGCCTCCAGACGGCACCATAGGCCCCCAAGGCGTTTGAAAACGCGTCCACGAGGCGCTCCAAGAGGGCCTCCAGAAGCACAAATCGTCCCATTCCTTAAGGAAAACATGCATTTTCAGTACGTTCGCCTCGTGGGCTTCCACGAGGCCTACAACGGCCCAGTAAACCTCCAAATTCGACCCCCGACCCCCCAAGAGACTCTCAAAAAGGCTCCACGACAGCTTCCAGGCGCTCGACGAAGGCCTCAGAAACCACAGCAACGGCCCAGGACAGTCGCAGGACGGTCCCACGAGAGCCCCACGGGCCAAGAGGGTCCCCAAAGGCCTTCTGAAGGGCCCACGAGGGGGACGAGTCGGTCCAAACCGCCCCAGCTTGCCTGCAGACGATTCCCCATAATCCCCCGAGACGTTTGAAAAAGCTACTTCGGGGCGCTCCACAAAGGCCTCCAAAAGCAAAAATCGTCTCATTCCCCAGGAAAGCCTACATTTTCAGCACATTCGCCTCTTGGGCTTCCACGATGCCTACAACGGCCCAAGAAGCATCCAACATCGACCTCCTGCAACCCCAGAGGCTTTCAAGAGGGGTCCAAGACGGCCTGCGGGCGCCCCACGAAGGCCCCAGAAACCATAGCAGCGGCCCTGGGGAGCCGAAGGACGGTTCCAAGAGGGCCCCAAGAATGGCCAAGAGGGTTCTTAAAAAGCCTCCTGGTCGGCCCAAGTCGTTCAACAGCGCCCCAAGTCGTCCAACATTGCCCCCCGACAGCCCTATAGGCCCCCAAGACACCTCAAGACGCTACCCAGAGGCGCCCCAAGGAGCCTTCCAGAAGCAACAACCGTCCCATGCTCGATGTAAAACACATGTTTCCAACACGTTCGCCTTTTGGCCTTTCACGCGGCCCCTGAGACCCCCGCGCGCCCCAACACGCCACCAGGACGCGGCCCAAGAGGCCCTCCACAAGCAAAACGTCGGCCCGTTCCCTAAGGGAAACGTCCAAGTCTAGCACATTAATTTCTTGGCCTTTCACGGGGTCCACAGCAACCCAAAAAGCACCCAAATCAATTCAAGGAAACCCCATGTGCCTCCAAGGGGGCTCCCAAAACGAATGAAAAAGGTCCAAAAGGCCCCCGGAACGGTCCAAGAAACCTACGAGTCGACGAGGGATCGTCCCACAACGCCAAGGATTGCCTCCAGACGGCCCCAGAAGCCCCCAAGACGCCCCAAGAAGCCACCAAAACGCCATCTAGAAAACAACATCGCCCCATTCCGTACGGACAAAGCATATATTCTAAACACACACGCCTCTCGGCCTTTCACGAAGCCCACAACGGCCCAAGAAACCTCCAAGAGCGACCCCAAATAACCCAAGAGGCCCCCAACAAGGCCCCAAGACGGCCAACGAGGGCTCCGCCAAGGCCCCAGAAACAACCGCAACGGCCCAGGAGAGCCGCAGGACGGCCTCAACAGGGCCCCAAAATGGGCCAAGAGTTCCCCAGAGGCCTCCTGGACGGCCCACGAGGGCTACGAGCCGTCGAGATATCGCTCCAAGACGCTCCAGATTGCCTCCCGGCGGTCCTACAGCCCCCCAAGACGGCCCAAGAAACCGCCTCCCAAGAGACTTTCCAGAAACAAAAGGCGTTTCATTTTCGACGGACATCATACATTCCCAACACGTTCGCCTCTTTGGCTTTCACGAGGCCCACAACAACCCAAGAAGTCTTCCATATCGACCCGATACGACCCAAAAGGGCTCCCAAAAGAACTGCAAAACAATTCAAATGGACGCCAAGAAGCCCCAGGAACCACCAAACCGACCCAGGACGGCCCCCAAATAGTCCCCAAATGGGTCCTACAAGGCCCCCCCGACGGCTCCAGACTGCGAATTGCGACTCGTGGGGAGATCACTCCCAGACGCCCGCACTTGCCTCCAGCTGACCCCAGAGGCCTCCTAGGCGCCCAACACGCCACCAGGACGCGTCCCAAGAGGCCTGGCGGAACCAAACCTCGGCCCTTTCTCGAACGGAAGCGTCTAAGTTTAACACATTCGCTTCTCGAGTTTTTTCACGAGTCCCACAGCAGCCCTAAACATATTTATTACTGCGTGGAGATCCCCATGCGTGCATCTATTTGCATGGACCTGTCCACCACGAGTGTCTATCGCAAGAGATTTCGAATACAAGCGGGCTTGAGTTGTGACGGTCTGGACATGAATCGAACTGCGAGTGAATTGGAGTGCGAATGAGTCTCAGTAGCACGAGCGCGTCTCTGCGCATGAGCCTGGGGCCTCCTGGGTGACTACCTACCAGACCACCCCAACCCAACCCGAAGACCCGAATTTCTGGTTGGGGGGGGTAAGGGTTCCACATGTGTTTTTTCGACGTTTCCCGACCCCCCCCCCGCTGGAAATCGAGGGTAAATTTGAGCCTTCGGGTTGGGTTGGGGTGGTTTGGTGGGTGGTGACTGGGGCCTCCTGAAACCTCCTGGGGCTTCCTGGGGCCTCCAGGAGCCTCCTGGGGCCTCCTGGGGCTTCGAGTGGCCTCCGGAGGCCTCGCGGGGCCTTCTGGGGCCTCCTGGACCCCCCCCAGGGGTCTCGGCCCCTTCCCCGGGGACCGGAGTTTCATCCCGAATCGTTTTCTTGGACGGCCCCGCGGCCCGGGAACGGCCCCCAGACGCTGAAAACAGTGAAACACCTCGCGTCGGGATGTTTTCATGACTCGAAGGGGTCTGGCAAGCACGAGCTGGATTCGGGTCGGGCGAAAGGGGGGGATAGCAAAGGAGGGGGTTGAGAATCAGCTCGCGTAGCGGATTTTCCCGGCGCCTCCCGGCGCCGGAGGCGACGATGTATCGAGGAATGGACCCCTCGGTGGGGCCGAAACCAGCTGCATGCAGCAAATTTCGTAACCCCGTTCCGCGGATTGCGTAACCCCCCCTTTCCCAATCCCCCCCTTTCGTCTGGCCCGATGGATCCAATCGAGAGATCGCGTCGGATCGGAATCGGGTCGGATCGCCAGCGACCCGTCCCAGATCGGATCGAAATCGGACCGCCGCGCCAGGCTCCAGCTGGCACCGGCCGGTGCTGGTGAAGCGGACCGAATCGGACCGAATCGGAACCGCGGCCCCAGCTGGCGAGTCGAATCGCATCGCATCGAATCGTACAGTGGGGGCGTTGACCTCAGGAACCCTAAATAAGGAACGGGGCCCCTTTCTCCCATAAGTTGAACTTCGATTTCCCATGGAAAACTTCAGGAAAACAGAAGGCAAACTGTCGAACAATCAAGGAACACCGAGCCCCTCCCCAACGAAAAGGGTCCCTTCTTCAGGGCCCCGGCTGTAGGCGGCCCTGTGGGTCTTGGCCGTCCCCGAGAGCATCGGGCCGGGCGAAAGGGGGGGACAGCACAGGGGGGGGTGAGAATCAGCTCACGTGGCCGACTTTCTCGGCGCCTCCCGGCGCCGGGAGCCCACGTATCGAGGGATGGGCCCCTCGGCGGGGCCGAAACCAGCTGCATGCAGCGGATTGCGTAACCCCCCCTTTCCCAATCCCCCCCTTTCGTCTGGCCCGACCTTCTCCCGGGAGGCTCGGAAGGCCTCCCTCCGGCCTGCTCCGGAACCTTCCTGGGCCCCCGCTGGAAACCTGGGCGGCTTCTCGTGGGGGTTCGAACTCTATTAGGGGGCCACATGCGAACCCTACCCCTACCCCCCACGATTTCTAAAGGGGAGGGTGGGGTTCACTGCGTTCGGGAGCTCCCGAGCGAAGTGAACCCCACCCTCCCCCATAGAAATCGTGGGGGGTAGGGGTAGGGTTCGCATGTGGCCCCCAATCTATGCACAAGCGACAGTCCGCCCCCGAGAGCAGGCCAGCCCGCCCGATCCTCCGGCGAGGTGACGCCCTGGCCGGCGCCGCCGCCGCCCGGGCCGCCAGCGGTCTCCGAGAGCCCGAGCACGGCCCGCAGCGCGGCGCTGCGCTGCTCTGCGGTGGCCTGCCTGCGGAACATGCCCGCGCCCAGGACCTCTCGGGGGGCGCGCCGACCCAGGCAGTCTTTTTTTTTTGTCCCAACCATCCTGTGGTGTTGGGTCCTCGTCTTGAAGAGACAGCGCCCCGCGTCCCACCTTCCTCCTCCTTTCTCCTCCTCCCCCTCCTCCCTCCTCCCCCTCATTGCCTCTGCTCTCGGCACACCTCTCACACACGCTTCGTAGCCCCATAGGGAGCTCCACCGAAGGCCCCAGTGGGGGTGTTCGCATGCGGTTCCCCCACCCAGGGCAGACCCAGACATTTTTTTGTTCTTTTTGGTCGGCGGGTCGGGAGCGGGCCCCTTCCGGTTAAGAGCTGGGCGGGGCGCGCGAAGCCCTAATGGGGGAGACAGGGCGCGGGCGGGCGGGGCCTCGGGCGGCCGGAGGGTGCAGAGTACAGGCGGTGCCGGAGATCTTGCACAAGACAAGGTACGCCATGCGCCGACCCAGACAGGCTCCGGCAAACAGTAGCGAGCACTCGTGCCACCTTCATCTGTCAACATCTCCCACTCCCCCCCCAAGGTTCAAAGTTGGCGGTGGGTCTGAGGAGTTGCACCTCGGCCGCAGTCTCCCCCGCGCGTGCCAACTTTGATGGTTTCCCTCTACCGGATCCCCTCGAGTTGTGAAAAAATCCCGACGGGAAGTTTCTCGCTCTTTTCGGCCTCTGGGAGCCCTCTCCGGGCCGCGGGGACGTCAAGAAAGGACCCAGGATGAAAAAACCGGTCCTGGGGCACTTTCTGGACCCCTGGGCGTCGACGTTACGAACAAAATCATGACGTCGGGGGTCTGGGACAAGGGGGTAGCTCACATCGAGCTCGAGTCGCCGAGTCGCCGATAGAGCGGGAATAGACCCCCGGTAGCGAAGCCACACGCTCTCGGACAGGGTGGGCCGCTCAGGCCCAGATCGGCGACGGGAAGGCGATTGGGGCTCGATGCTCCCCCTCGCGCTGGGCTCGGAAGGTCTCCAGGGCCGCCCCTCGGCGCAGCCAACGTGCACGTCCTTCGGCGGTACCCCGGTGTCGCCGCCGTGGTGCGTGGCGGGGGCACACCTGTGCAAACCACCCAGCAACCTTCAGCACTACCCTGCACCCCACGGAGGCCTTGTCGTCGGTGTCCTGCGAGCAGGACCCTCCGTCTGGGTTTCCTCACGACGCTGGGATTATCTGGCGAACTCCAAGTGTGCTGGTTCTGGCTCTGATGCACTCCCACCGCTAGATTGTGCGGACCTCCCTCGGTTTGCGCGGGGGCAGAACGCCGAGACCCCAGTGCCGTGGTCTGGGTGCAGGGTTACCTCCAGCACTGCACAGTTTGCACGGGCGCCCAAACGCGACAACGAGCCAAAATACTGCATCGAGCTTCCACGAGAGCCGCGCCGTTATGACATGACGAAATTTACCATCTTGTGTGGGAAGCACCGGACAGGCTGCCACATGAGCCGCTTATGGGCTCCCTGCCCGGACACCCAGGTCTCAGCATTTGTCGCTGCCATCTCTCAAGGGCGGCACGCTCCACAGATCACCACTTTGGGCTCGATGCTCCTCCCAGAACTTGCCCTCCGTCTCGCTGCCACTGATGCTTTGGCGTGGGTTGGCGGCGCGCACAAATGGGTGGGGGGAGGGGGGAAGGCTTCTTCGAAGGAGGCTGCTTCTTAGAGGACGCCGGCCATACATCTATTAGACAAGGCCGCGCGTGCCCTCTAAGGAGCACAGGTGCTTCCAAGAAGCCGTCCCCCCTCCCCCTAACCCCCCTCTGCGCGTCGCCGGCTCTCGGGGGGGGGCTCAACTGGGCACTCCCAAATGGGGTCGGAGCAGATGGGGTCGGATGATCGCGCTGCATCGTCGATGCATCGTCGACGTCGGTGACGCGCCCGCGGAGCCGGCGTTGAGAAAGTAGTTTTCCGCTTCGAACCGCATCGTCGATGCATCAGCGATGCGGTGCTATCCTTTGGGGACCGAGCTCTATATACCGACGCTTCTTCCAGCCCTGCATTGGAATTTGCATTGGCGAGCGGATCCTGGTGTATACGGGACCCTGGTCCATACATTTTTCGTTGTTTTTCCGGGACATCCGAGAAAAACGTATACACCACACCACACCAGCGTCGTCCTCGACCCTCAAGAAGTCCTGGGATTGAAAAACAGCCCGCCACTGGTAATGCATATGTTCCAGTTTCCGAATCCTCCGACGCCATTTGCTCGGACCCCATCTGGGGGGCTAGACTCACATGGATTAAGGATCTGTGGATCTGGCGCGTGGGCGCCACATCCACGCATCGGGGAGCCCCCCATCCCCCCCCTCCGAAACATGGGGCCAGTGTCGCCCGATTTTTGGTGACGGAGAGCGTCGATGTTGCATGGAAGCGGGACCCGTCGCCAGTCTGCGCGACGACCCTCGCCCATGCCCTCTCGTCGTGACAAGAGGCGCAGCGGGCATTTTTATGCTGTGTTCGTCCTCTGGGGGCCCTCGTCGTGCACGAGGACCGTATATTCGTCTGGCGAAGGACCCAACCATGTGCAGCTGCGAGTATCGCATGAAATACCCCTCTCATCATAAGTAGCGCGCCGCGAAAGGGATGGAGCACGGGGCAACGCGGATGGGAGCCCCGAAACGAGCGTGGGGTGTGCCGAACTGAGCGGGGGACGCATGCGGGCGCTACTACTGAGGTCTTCGTTCAGAGCTCCCTATGGGGCCACGAAGCGTGAGAGGGGAAAACCGAAATCGCCCGAGGCCGCCATGCGAACCCTGCCACTGGGACCTTTAGTGGAGCTCCCTATGGCGCCACGATCCTCGTGAGGAGTGTGCCGAGATGGCCCGAGGCCGCCATGCGAACCCTGCCACTGGGGCCTTCGGTGAAGGTCTCTATGGGGCCACGATCCTCGTGAGGGGACTGCCGAGATGGCCCGAGGCCGCAATGCGAACCCTGCCACTGGGACCTTTGGTGGAGCTCCCTATGGGGCCACGATCCTTGTGAGGGGTGTGCCGAGATGGCCCGAGGCCGCCATGCGAACCCTGCCACTGGCGCCTTCGGTTGAGCTCTCCATGGGGCCACGAACCGTGTGAAGGGTGTTCCGAAATTGTTGACATGCGGGGGGGGCAGAGGCAGGGATGGGCAGAGGCAGGGATGGGAGGAGGGAGGAGGTGGAGGAGGAAGGAGTGAGTGAGACGCGGGGCGCTTCAAGACGAGGACCCAGCACCACAGGACTGTTGGGATAAACTGCCAGGGATGAAACCCTGGTCCCCTGGAGGAGGTCCAGACCACCTCGGGGAAGCCGACTAATTACCCAGATCTCCGACGACATGTTTTTTCCATCCGAGCGTTCTTCCTCGAGGTCGGCCTTTGGGGCCAGTTCTCGGAGGTTCGCGGCCGAGCCGAACATATGGTACAAACATATCATAGCACGTCGGTGCCCAAACGGCATGGCCAAAGAGCGCCCGCCACAGAGCCTGGGAGGAGGAGGAGGAGGAGGAGGGAGAGGAGGAGGAGGAGGAGGAGGAGGAGGAGGAGGAGGAGGAGGGGGAGGAGGAGGAGGAGGAGGACGAGGAGGAGGAGGAGGGGGAGGAGGAGGAGAAGCGTTCCTGGGCCCGCCCGAAGCCATCCAGCCCGCCGATCCTGGCAGGGGTTCGTGCGTGGGCCTGGCCGGGGTTGGTGATCGGTGGGACGTCTCCCCGGGCCTTCTGCTCCATCTCCAGCTTCTCCCTGCAGCGAGCCTCCATGTGCCTCTCCGCGCTCTCTTTCTCTCTCTCTCTCTCGAAGAGAGAGAGAGAGAGAGAGAGAGAGAGAGAGAGAGAGAGGGAGGAGAGAGGGAGAGAGAGAGAGAGGGGGGGAGAGAGAGAGAGAGAGAGAGAGGAGAGGAAGAGCAAGAGGAAGAGGAGGTGGAGGAGGAGGAGGAGGAGGAGGAGGAGGAGGAGGATGAGGAAGAGGAGGTGGAGGAGGAGGAGGTGGAGGAGGAAGAGGAGGAGGAGGAGGAATTTGTCTCCAACTCCTGCGACGTGGCTGCGCTGTGGGCCACTGGGGCCAGAGGCCCGCAGGCCGGGCGCCATCACGCGTGCAGCAGCACGGCGTGCAGCAGCACGGATGCTGCAATCGAGCGCGACGAACTCCCCGCGCCGAACCCGCACCGCGAGCTGTTATCGTGTCTTCAGGGAAGGCTCAGGAAACTTCTCAGAAGGCCGGGAGGCTTCCGGGCCTTCTGAGAAGGCCCGCCCCTGCTCACGTCCCCGCCCTCGTTCGCCGCCGGATTTACGCATGAGCTTCCGGAGGTCCGCTCGGATTTCTCGGGTGGGCGCTGGATCCCGTCGGCGGTGCCCCTGTCCCCGCCCCCTGGCGCGCTCCGCGTGCCAGGGGGAGGGGAGTGTCCAGCGCCCTGCCCAAGAACGTCTCCTCGCGGACCTCCCAAGTTCGCAGGCCTCAAGGTCGACACCAACACTAAGCGGGAGGGGCGGGACGGCGCCCGACGAGCTCTGCTGGCAAGGCTGCGGCGACAGCCAAAAACCGCACCGCAGTGCCACGATGCTGGTGGCAGCGCACTCCCGACCTCCCCGAAGGCGAACACGACGAAGTAGCATCACGTCGGGCACGTCTTCCCACAGGCGGATTTTGAAAGAAACATAGCACATAGTCAAGCTTTGGTCAACAGGGCGAAGCCGAAACATAGCACAAGCATGCTCACGATAAATCAGCGTCAAAACATGGTCAAGACGAACACGACGAAGTAGCAGGACGCGCGGCGAGCGGCGATGGGCAGCCATACCCACCGTGCCGTCGCTCGGCCCCCGCCACGGCGCCCGCCGAGAGGACGAGGAGGCGCAGCGGAGCCGCTGCGGGGGGGCGCCCTGCGTCAGCGGCACCGGCACCGGCGCGGGCTCCGCGCGGCCACGCCGCCGCGGCGAAGGGGGGGCGGATGCGAAGAGGAGGGGATGCTGCGGCGGGCGGCGGCCCAGGGGGCGGCCGTGGGCACAGGCCCCAATGGAGCCAAGATGGACGCGGACGGAGGCGGAGGAGGAGGGAGAAGAGGAGGAGGAGGAGGAGGAGGAGGACCGTGATGGTGATGGTGCTGGTGCTGGTGATGTTGATGATGATGGTGATGATGAGGATGGTGATGGTGATGGTGATGGTGATGGTGATGGTGGTGGTGGTGGTGGTGATGGTGATGATGATGATGATGATGATGATGATGATGATGATGATGATGGTGCTGATGGTGGTGGTGCTGGTGCTGATGGTGATGGTGATGGTGATGGTGATGGTGATGATGATGACGATGATGATGATGATGATGATGATGATGATGATGATGATGATGATGGTGATGAGGAGGGGGAGGAGGAGGAGGAGGAGGAGGAGCAGGAGGCGGAGGAGGGGGAGGGGGAGGAGCAGGAGGAGGGGAAGCAGGAGGAGGAGGGGGAGCAGGAGGAGGAGGAGGAGGAGGAGGAGGAGCGGAATGGTGCGGAATGAGCACCCTGGCAACGAAATTACAACGACACTACAACACACGTGCCGTCTTATCGCGGAACAATGGGACGACACGGATGAGCACGCGCACGCACCGAAAGACGAACTCTACGAAGCACATTAACTGACAAACGCAACCTCCCAGAAAACTGCGAATGTGAAATATCACGGCCCAGCTGGACAACACTGTGGGCAACGCGACGTAAACCTGGAAGCCATCACCAAGCAACAGACAATGTGAAAACCACGGCCCGCCTCTTGGAAACAGCAATGATACGATACTAATGGAACACTCTTCGCCTTCTTGGGCACACCTCATGTTCCTCGGCGCTTCTCCGCACGTGGGATGAGTCTCCAGCACGTCTAGGCGTGCTTCCTCTTGGCCCGCACCAGATAGTCGGCTTGGCGGTGGAGGGATGCACGGTTGCTCGAGCTTCTCGCTGATGTACTGCTTGGCGGTGCTGCCGCATGTGTAGCAGTAGTAGCCTTAGTCCCGTCGATGCCACATAATCTGGTGCGAGAAGTGTGCACGTCGTCCTTTCAGAATGAGTGGCTGGTGTTCTGCGCTGTCTACCCCGTTGCAACTTGCTTGTAGCCCCCATCTCGCCACCGTGCTTCGTCTGCGGATAGCCCTTTGCGAACAGGCCATGCATTCCCATCCTGTGCTGGTTGGTGTCAGTTTGTGCCGGCTTGTTGCTGTAAGTTGGTCGAGCGCTGGTTGTGGTGGTCGTTGCTGAACTGCTTCACGTCGTAGTCTGGCCCGCTCGTCCCATGACATTGGTGGTTTCCGCTCCATGCTGTCAACGATTGCTTGTGTGATGCGTTGGCGGATCAGATTGCCTACCGCGCGGACCCATTCGTAGCATCCGAGTTGTGCGGCTGGTAATGCATGTTCCTCCGCTGCTCCGTCGGCCTGCATGTCTGCTTGGAAGGAGGAAGGAGGAGGAGGAGTTTGAGGAGGAGGAGGAGGAGGAGGAGGAAGGAGCAGGGGGAAGTAGGAGCGGAAGGAGGCGAGGGAGGAGGAGGAGGAGGAGGAGGAGGAGGACGAGGAGGAGGAGGAGGAGGGAGGAGGAGGAGGGGAGGGGAGGAGGAGGAGAGGGAGGAGGGGGAGGAGGAGGAGGATGGGAGGAGGAGGAGGGGGAGAGGAGGAGGAGGAGGAGGAGGAGGCCTCTCCACCTTCGAGTCCGTCACCAAGCGCACCACGCGGACCTCCCTGGTCTGGCCGACCCGGTGCACGCGAGCGACCGCCTGCCTTTCTGGGGGATGGACAAAGGGACAACGAGAGCCGCACGAGCGCGGGCCTCCGGAGGTCAGCGCGGATCTCTCGGGTCAGCGCTGCGCAGCACGAGGGGCGCGCTACGTCGTCGTCGTCGTCGTCTTCTTCGTCGTCGTCGTCGTCGTCGTCGTGTCGTCGTCGTCGTCGTCGTCGTCGTCGTCGTCGTCGTCGTCGCAGTTCTGCTGCATCTTCTTGGCGGCGAGCCCGGGGGGGGGTCCAGCGTTTGAGAAGTCCACGCCCAACTCCGAAAGCCTACAGGTCGTCGTGCTACCGTGGGGAACGCTGCACAAAGAACCAACGGACTCTCCCTCCCAATGCGAGCCTCGGTCCCCGACCCAGACCTACGGAACGGCGCGAACACCCGAGCCCCTCCTGAGCCCGCAGTGTCTCGACTGCACGCGCGTGCAATGTGTTTGCTCTCGATGCCTACCGTTCTGGGGATTTCGGTCGATGTCGATGTCGCCACCTGGGTTGGCTCTTGGGAGGTCCAGCGGAGTCGGGGGCCACGCAGATCCAGCCGATACCTCGCGGCCCCCTGGGAGGCTGCGCAATTGACGCCGCTTTTCGTGGGCTCGTGGGAGGCACGGCGGAGATGAGGGCAGCGCAGATGGTGCATATCTGGTGATCTGTTCCCTTGTCTGGAGTGCTGATGCAAAGATTCTGCTCGCGTGGAAACGTCTCGGGCAACCTCAGATGGTGCCCCCCCCAATGATGGGAACACAGATGAGGGCAGAACTGACTGCACAGGACACGTGGCAGGACACAAGACTCTTCCGACGGCACTACGGCCTCCGAAACCACAGGACACACAAGGCATCCTGCCGAGGTCGCGATCGCGATCACCCGCGGCCGACCCGCAGCCCCGCGAAGGGGGGGCGCATGCCGGACAGGACGCCAAGGATATCCGACTCGCCGCGCCCTGGGACTGCAGAGGACACGACGCGCGGTGCACAGGACACAAAAGGTACCCTCGATTTGGCAGGATCGACCTACTAATTCGGGCCGGCTGTATTTAGTGCGCGGGCTCACTGACGGATCTCGAGCCCCCACAGCAGTGCGAACATCATGATTGCGAGGCGGCGGCCGCTGATGATCGGGGGGAATCCCTGGTGGTGATGATGCTGCTGCTGCTGATGATCATGATCATGATGATGCTGCTGATGATGATGCTGATGATGATGCCGGCGTTGATGCTAATTCTGCTGCTGCTGCTGATGCTGATGCTGATGGTGATGATGGAGGGACGGACGAGGAGGGAAGGTACGACAGCTTATGGGGGGGGGGCTGGTTAGCATTGGAGACCCTCTGGAGTCCGGAGGTCACTGCTGCCCTCGATGCCTGTCGTTCTGGGGATTCCAGTCGATGTCGAAGAGCACCACCGTGTCCGCGGCCTGCAGGTTCAGGCCGAGGCCCCCGGCGCGCGCGGACAGCAGGAAGACCTCTGGGGGCTGCACGCGCCCACCGTGCCGTCGAGCCCCGTCCCCCTTCGCGATCGCCCCTCTTGCCTCGCTTCCACCCTCCTCCCTCCTCCCTCCTCCTCCTCCTCCACCTCCTCCGCCTCCTCCGCCTCCTCCTCCTGCTCCTCCTCTGCTCCTGCTCCTGATCCTCCTCCTGCTCCTGCTCCTGATCCTGCTCCTCCTCCTGCTCCTCCTGCTCCTCACCTTCTTCGTCATAATATTTTTCGTCTTATTTGTGTTAGTACTCTTAGCTTATTCGTATTACTTTTTTCTTATTATCATGGGTCGTAGTAGCATCAGTTTTATTATCATTACAATAGTGACACTATTATCATTTTGATTGGTATTAAGATTGTTATTAATAGTCGTAGTAGTCGTAGTAGTCGTAGTAGTCGTAGTAGTCGTAGTAGTAGTAGTAGTAGTAGTAGTAGTAGTAGTAGTAGTAGTAGTAGTAGTAGTAGTAGTAGTAGTAGTAGTAGTATTATAACGCTTGGTATTAATAGTAGTAGTATTGGTACAATCAGTACGACTGCTAGTCTTATCAGTGTATGCATTAGTCGTATGAGTGTTACTATTCGTATTGGTGTACCAGTCGCCGCATGCTTATTTTTTATCAATGGTATTCGTATTAGTCGTATTATGATAACTATTACGATTCCAAGCGGATAATGGGTGTGATAGTATGGTTAGAATTGGTATTTTGGATTCGTACACTTCTTCTTCATCCTCCTCCTGCTCCTCCTCCATCTCTTCTCCTCCTCCTTCCTCTCCTCCTCCTGTTCCTCCTCCTGCTCCTCCTGCTCCTCCTGCTCCTCCTCCTCCTCCTCCTCCTCCTCCTCGAGGTGCTTACTCGCCCCGTACCCCCCTTGGCGCTGCAGAGGCCTTCTGGGAGCTGTTCAGGGGACCCCATCGGAGGCCCGAAGAGGGCGTCCGCGGGCCTCGGGGAGGGCCTCTCCCAGGGTCGGTCACCTTCCAGGGTCGGTCACGCAGGACTTGCGGAGACATTCTCTCTTTCCTCCCCTTCGTCTTACTCCTCCTCCTCCTCCTCTTCTTCTTCTTCTTCTTATCCTTCATCTTCCTCCTCCTCCCCTCCCCCTCCTCCTCCTCCTCCCTCCTCCTCCTCCTCCTCCTCCCTCCTCCTCCTCCTCCTCCTCTCCTCCCCTCCCCCTCTCCCCCTTCCTCCTCCCATCCTCCCTCCTCCTCCTTCTCCTGCTCCTGCTCCTCTCCTCCTCCTCCTCTCCTCCTCCTCCACCTCCTCTTTATCGTCCTCGTCCTCCTCTCCTCCTCTCCTCCTCTTCTCCACTCCTCCTCCTCCTCTCCTCCTCCCTCCCCCTCCGCCTCCGCTCCGCCTCCTCCTCCTCCTCCGTCGTCCTCCTCCTCCTTCTTTCCTCCTCCTCCTTCCCCTCCTCCTCCTCTCGTCCTCCTCCTCCTCCCCTCCCCCCGTCCTCCCCCTCCTCCTCCTCCTCCTCCTCCTCCTCATCCTCCTCCTCACTCCATCCTCCTCCTCCTCCTCCCCCTCCCCCTCCCTCCCACCTCCTCCTCCTCCTCCTTCTCCTCCTCCTTACACGTACACGCAATGCCATCAGAAGCAGACCCTTCGATGAACGGAACTTCTACCCCTAACCTCATGCCCGTGAGAATAAACACTAGGGGATAATAAAGTTCGGGGTTCAGGGAGAGATAATAAAAGTAGCCCAGCAGACCTCAGCATAATCTCGAAGTAAGAGATAATCAAGAGGAGACCAAGCCGAGCACGTTTTGAGACATCCTTGGCGTTTAGTTTTCATAGAAATATCCTCAACAATGGCTCATCTCGCTGGAATGGAGGAAGCTATATATAACAAAGAAAGATGAAAAGAATAAATAATAAAATAAAAGAAATGATATGAGGAGGAGAAAGACGAAGAGAAGAACAAATCTCGAGTTTCAAATCTATTAGATCTTATTTACAAACGCTTTATGAAACTTGTGTTTTGTAAGTGCTCGTGTAGGGTAGCTCATGTGCCTCAATTTCCATGGATAATCAACCCCAGAGATAAAAAAGTTCAGGCGAGCGTGGGGACAGAGAGAACTATACAAGAAGAAGAATACAGTATAATAATAATAATAAGAAAGACGAAGAAGAGGAGAATAAGAAGAGGACGAAGAACGTAAAAATCCAAAGTTCCAAATCTACCAATTTTAATTTACAAGCGCTTTATGAACATTGATTTTTTTTAAGTGCTCGTGTAGGGTAGCTCATGTGCTTCATTTTCCACGGATAATCAACCCCAGGGATAAAAAAGTTCAGGCGAGCGTGAGGACAGATAGAAATATAAAAGAAGAAGAGCGTAGAAGAATAATAAGAAGAGAAGAAGAAGAGAAGAATAATAATAGAAGAATAACGGAAAAATGGAGAGTTCCAAATCTATCAATTTTAATTTACAAACGCTTTATGAAAATTGATTGTTTTAAGTGCTCATGTAGGGTAGCTCATGTGCTCCCCTTTCCATGGATAATCAACCCCAGAGATAAAAAAAAAGTTCAGGCGCGCGCGGGGATAGCAACATCGCTTAATGTTGCTATCTCAACATCGCGTTTCGAGGTGATAATGAAGTTCGGCCTCAGCGCTCGCCGCCCAATTTGAGTTTTATATAGGGCGACGATAATCAACTCTAAACACTGAAGGGGGGGGTCCCTTTATTATCATCGGCATGCGGTTACTTTGTGAGGATCAAATGAAACGGGCATGAGGTCCGATTGGGGCCCCCGAGAACGCGCTGGCAAATTTGCCTGCACGGAAAAAAGGTACCGCAATGTTTCGAAAACTCTTGCATACTTGTTGCAAAGAATGTGCGCGGCGCTGAAGCGAGAACCACGTTTTGAAAACGACCCGCCCTCAATCCGTGAAACTCTTGCAACATGTTACAAATAATGTGCGGCGCTGAGGCGAGAACCACATATTGAAAACGACACGCCCTCAATCCGGGAAACTTCTGCGAATGTTTAAAACGAATGCGCGCGGCGCAAAAGCGAGAGCCACGTTTTGAAAACGACCCGCCGCAATCTGTGAAACTCTGGCAATATGTTACAAAACATGTGCGGCGCTGAGGCGAGAACCACATGTTGAAAACGACACGCCCTCAATCTGGGAAACTTCTGCAAATGTTTAAAACGAATGTGCGCAGCGCTAAAGCGAGAGCCACGTTTTGAAAACGACCCGCCCTTAATCCGTGAAACTCTTGAGCCTCTTGTCTGAGTCTACAAGCAAAACTACGACAGGTCCAGAGGAAAGAAACAGTAGGGGGCCGAAAGCTCGGGGCGGGGCATGCCGAAAAGCGAGCGCCCTCAGCCCCAAGGGCCGCCGTGGGAACGCATCGCCCAGGACGGAGCCCATGTTCAACCCTATTCGCCCTGGGCCTTCGGGAGGGCCATCGGGCGAACAGACATGGGAGGTGGGTGGGGGAGGGGGTCGAGGTCCGAAAAGAAACCTGGACTTCACGGCTAGTCGGGACTCGCCTGCGCCTTCTCGGCCCAGCGCTGTTTGGAAAGGAGGCGGAATGGGGAGGGGGGGGGATTTTGGAAACGCCATGAAGTAAATCTACTTGGGTCGAAAGTAAAACACCCTCCATCGTAGGTGGAATTGGAGTCCCAGAGCCTTCACGCTCTCGTCGGAATTGAAGCGCTCTATGCGCGCCTTCCTCTGCTCGTGCGCCACCTGGCCGTCAAGCCGGACGTGCACGATGTCCCGCCACTTGAGGAAGTCCTCCAGTATGTCGAGCAAGCTCGTGAACTGGGAGAAGACGAGCACCTTGCAGGAGTGGCCAACATCGCATTGATAGCTCCAGTCGGATCGGGACGCGCATCGAATCGAGCCGCACCGGCACTTGATCGGAATCGCATCGACCACACCATGAGGCAAACAACCAAATGCAAACATTGGGTCGTATCGGATCGCCGGAATATCGGGAGCGGCCAAGAGGGGGGTGTCCAAGAGGGGGGGGTGCAAATCATGGCCGGCGGCATGTGCGCGGCCCAGGGGGGGGGCCCGGGACGCAATGAAACAAGAAGAGGCGCCATGAAATCTGGGGAAACATCATGGCCCACGCCATGATATCCACCCCCCCCTAGTCATCACCCCCCTCTTTTCCGCCCCCGAGCATATCGGAATCGAACCGACTCGGATCGATCGGATCGAACTTGACCGAGCCTTCGTCTTCGGCGGGATCCGGGCCACCGCTCGGGCCTCCAGCGGCCCTGTTCGGGGCGATGCGGGCACCCCCGGGAGCGCCCTCGGCGAGGCGCAGGCTGCTGAAGGCATCCCGAGGCCAGGAAACGGCGGAGAGCCAACGAACAAGTTCAAAACTTGGGGCCTCGACAACCTCTCTGCCGAAGTCGAGATCGAATCGGCTCGAGCTCTGCCTTGTGGCCGAAGCGGAGCAGCTTTGGCAACATCCTGTCGAGAGCCTCCAGCTTGCCAGAGGCCCTGAAGAGGTCCTGGCCCCGGGCGTAGCCCTGCTGGAAGAGGTACGGGTGCAGGACGATCTTCCGCAGCTGCATGAGCGCATTGTTCACCTGCAGCAGAACAACCAACTGCGTAAACACATGATTTCGGAGGTCCGCGCGGATTTCTCGGATCGGCGCGCTCCAAAATATATGTTCGCGCAGCTGTGTTCTCCTCGAACCTGATCGCTGGACACCGCAGCGCCCTCATCGAGCAGGCGGATGGTCCGCTTCTCGAGGTCCCTGTAGGCCGCCTCCTGCCACGCGCTCAGCGGCACTCGCACGTCGACCTCGACCCTAGGCGGGAGACGATCCGCCAGCACCTCGCTCTTCAGCCTCTGCAGCAGGAAGGGGGACAGCAGCGTGTGCATCTGCTGGATCACCTGCTGCTCCTGCTCCGGGTCCAGCTGGATGTCGTACTCGTTTAGTCCCTCGACGCCCTGGAAGGGCTTGGCGAACCAGGCCTCCAAGGGCAGCCGGAAAGGGGGGGGAGGCCTGGCCAGGGGCGGGGGGGACGGGGGGGGGCAATAACCTGGAATCAGCGATACGTCGCCAGTGGGGAACCCCGACGTTCCTGCGAAGTTGCAGGCCATTACCAAGGCCCTGATCGGTGAGGAATGGGCGATTGGGGGTCGATGCTTCCACCCGTGAGCCAATCCCTGGGGGGACCAGAAAGTACCGGTACCGTCAGACCTCTGTGGGGCGCTTTCTGACCAGAATTTCGGGGAGAATCCAGCCGTGGTGACGAAGGCTCTCCAGGACGAGCATCGGTATCAATATCGCTTTCTTTTCTGAGTCCCCCCCTCCGCTTGGATGCTCATTCTGGGGACCTTCCAGGAGACACTCGCTCCACTCGTGCGTCGATGCTGCGTCGAACGTCCGTCGATTTGAATCGACCTTGAGTCGAACCTGAGTCGAACTCGAATCGAACATGAGTCGAACTTGAGTCGAACTGGGGTCAAACTGGGGTCGACCTGGAGTCGAACAGATACAATCGGTGGGCATCCTGAGTCACCCCCTTGTCAACGCCCGAACCTTGAAGTCCATCACGACCGTGAACAGGTCCGGGAGTAAGTAGTGCAGGAGCGCCCACAACTCATTGACGCTGTTCTGCAGCGGGGTCCCGGTCAACAGCAACCGCATCCGGCAGCGGAGACTAGCCATGGCGTTGTGCAACACGGTCTCCGGATTCTTCAGCCGGTGGCCCTCGTCGACGACCACGAGCTGCCAACTGTTTTTGAGCAGCCAGTCGTTGCGGTGCACCTGCTCGTAGTTCGTGACGCAAGCGACTGGGCGCCTCTGCGCTATGTCCCGGCGGAGCGCCGCGAGTTCGAGCTCCCTGAGGTCCTGGTCTCCCGTCAGGAGCCGGACGGAATAGCCCGGCGCGAAGCGCTCGAACTCCGTCTTCCAGTTGGACAGTGTCGACTTCGGGGCGACGATGAGGTGCGGCCCCACGTTTCCCTTCTGCTCCTTGATGTGCAGCAGGAAGGCAATCGTCTGGATCGTCTTGCCCAGACCTAGGGGAACAAGCAACCACATGAATATAAAATCTCGGAGGTCCGCGCGGATTTCTCGGATCGGCGCTGGATCCGACTCCCTGGTTGGGCGCCCGAGTTATCCGGGGTAACTCGGGTCCGGGGTAACGCGGGTTTGGATTCCCGAAAAACGTACCCGAGCTAG